CGATGACACAGCTGGCACAAAGCTTGGCAGAGAAGAGTAAGCTGCTCCTTGCGCAGGCTTGAAGCTGTGTGTACCTGGGTAGTTCCAATAGTATTTGCTTCCCGCTATGTCTATCTTCGCCCTTGCTCAGATGTTGTTCGTGATGCTTGCTGAGAAGGAACGACGAAGCAGCCACGCAAGCGGCTTAGCCACATCTTCTGATTGGCCAGTAGCTGATCATAACGTCATCGACTCGTTGCACCGTTTGGTCGTCACCAACGCTGGGCCGCGGATTCGAGCTTGATTGATGTGTGAGCTACGATGATGCCTGATCGTTCAATACAAGATGCATCCAACGGTACATAAGTCTACCTGTCGCTCCACCTAGCAGATCTACTTGCCCGGCCTCCTTTCCCGATAGACCAGTCACGGCTATTACACTAGTTCATCGTCGGACTTTACTACCAGCATGTCGGGCAACGTTGTCGACCCTGAGGCACGCGACAAGTACCTCCTGCAAGGTCCGTTGGGGTGAACTGGAATTATCCCACAGAACGCTGATGATATGTAGTGACTGCCGGACCATCCTATGATGCCTCAAAACACGAACAGGTATCAGTCAACGGCGCAGAGCCCACACACGTCGAGAGCGACTTAGTTGAAGCATGGATCCGCGTCCGAATCAAAGACTACCATGGCCTACCTCGCGGTTCACCAGCTTCATCATCTTACTTTGATCACCCACAGCATACCTCTGATAGATACTCCATCGCCTACTCATTCGTTCCCAAGCAGGATATGTCCGGCTCCGATCTTGTCATGGGCTTCGATTACGGCCATTCGATCAAGCACCAGCTTCCACCAGGTTTCAGATACGCAATGAAGATCGCCACGAGCATGCTCGACCCAGGGCTCTACTCAGATGCATACTCTGACGAGCCGTATCTCTACGGACCCGCGCTATCGAGCTTCTTTGCCTTTCGCATTGGAGATCGGACAAGCGATGTATCAGCACAAGATCAACTCGCAAGTCTCAGTCAAGAAAGTGATGATGTGATCGAAGAAGGTGCGTCGGGGAGTGGCAAAGAAGTGCGCAAAGCGTCGTCCATGCCTTCAAGATGGAAGAAGCGGCGGAAGCATTACCTCGATGAACAAGCCCTTTCAGCCTTTACGTTCGAGAAGGGTCGCATGTACCATGCCGACTTCTTCAACCCACACCTTGACTTTGCGAACTTTTCGTTGAGGCTGCCCGGTTTCTCGATCAGTGTGGCCAAGTACGTGGATGAGAAGACGCATCATCTAAGATATGTACTTCGGAATCGAAAGACGGAGGAGGTACTTCTCGTGGTCTTCTTCAAGTTGCTGTTTGGCAAGGAATTGGATGATACGTTGGAGAAAGAGAAGAGGAGGGAAAGTGCGCCGCCGGCTGTGGCTGTAAATGATCAACCAAAGCCAGAGCGGACAGGCCACGACGAGCTAACGAGAGTACGTGCTGCTGAAGAAGCTGAAAGACGAGCTTCACAACCTTCTCCTCGGATGGGTCATGAGGAGTTGACGAAAGTTTGCGCTGCTGAGGAGGCCGAAAGACGCGCTTCGCAACCTGCACCTCGCGCTGTACAAACCGATAATACGCCATCCTCTGCAAAACCTACCCGTCAAGAAGGTTCAGCGTCTGGAACAACCGCTCAAGTCGATGGCGAGGCGCAAGAGGATCAGAGTTACATCAGCCAAGCGACGAGCGCTGCGACAAACCTTGCAAACTCAGTGGTGGCTGTTTACGCAGCCTTGGGCTTCGGCAACTCATCATCTTCCTCGTCGGATTCCGAACCTTCGAGCAGGAGTAGTTCGGCGCAGCCAGCAAACAAGTCGATGGCAGCTGAGATCGACAAGATGGACGATGCAACGGTAGAGCAGTATTTGCGGGGTCGACACGGAAGTGTGTGATGTTCTGTATATGCATCGGTTCTTGGGCGATAGCTGGTATAATGTTGTAGTAATCAACATCTCAATGCTGCGAAGGTCTGTCCTCTTGATCTAACTGGTTGAATTTGAAATGATCAGCACGCTACCTTAGTGTAATTGAGGTCGACCGTGGATCCGGATTTGGGAATCTCTAGCACCGGAGGATTGTGATTGTAACTTTGTCCGCCGCCGTTTCACGGGCTATAGCCAACGCCACAACGCTGCCGTATGTAGCGCAAGGAGCCCATGGATTTAGGTTCCGTATAGAGTGCTGATGAATACGGATGACGTACGACTGGATGATGTTTGGCGAACGGTCTTCTCGCATAGCTTCTGTTACTACTCTATCGAAGAGGAAGCATCGCGACTGCTTCATCTGCGGCGCGAGCAATAAGCCCTACCAATGTATGCGACGCGTGCTTCAGAGCCTTGGAAGAACACATTGCCAGAAGCGTGGTGAAAGAGCAATCAATGATATGAACCGGAGAATACATGGCGCACGCCAGTCGGAACCCAGGCTAACATGCACGTGCGCGCTCGGCCCCGCAAGCATCTCGAAGCCGATGAAACTGCGACCTTGTCTCCTTGACACACGCACTGCACCACCCGCCATTCCAACGGCAACAATACACGCCCTCCCAACGCGCGGGCGCACTCAACCAGCAAGTGCAGTCGGGCCTAAGCATTTCGATGCGCAAGGGCTTACCCTAGCCCATCGGCAGCATGCCTCCACCTGACAGATCAGCGTCTCGGAAACTTGCAGTTCCATGGCACTAGTCACGTTTTGACTCTGGTCTTTGCTCGTTTGCTCGTTCCAGCAGCCCAAAGCACCGCTGCGTCTCGCGCAGACGCTGTTGCGGTCAGGTACGTACCTGATTCACCCGGCGTCAGTCGTCCCGCTCAGCTGCGGGTATCTGTGTTCCAGTACTCGAGACCCTTGCGGCGCCCTTTTAGTGGCGCGGATTCATGCGTTGCCGGTGTGTATAGACTACCTTTATGTAGCTGAAAAAGTCCTTCATTACGCCAAATGGGCTGGCGCCTTTTGCTGTACTACCAGCCTTTTCACATGATCAGCTTTTCGACCGTCTAGTGTTTGTCAAGTCGGCCCGGAGGTCAATCTCAGCAACCATGATAAGCACTTGTTTGGACCTTGCGCTTTTGTGCCATCCTGTACTCGCTTTCCTCTCGATACAACGACCAAAAATGGCGGCTCCGATTTCGAAATGGCAGTACTTCCTTCTCAGCTTTCTTTCGCTGCTCGCTATTCGCTATGCGAGTACGACGAACGCGAGTCCTCAGGTTCCGGTCGTCCATGAAATTCAACAGGCTGTCGAGCAGGCTGTTTGCCAGACGGTTGACCAGCCAAACCCCATTGCGTCACAGTACCCAACAAATGCGACGGGAACGTTGAACGGCACAATCTCAGTCCTACCAATTTCCCTGGATCTCGCACGCAGTCTCATTCCCTCGCAATACCGCATCTTGGAGCACGCATACCGCCATCTCCTCCCTGACTTCCCGGAAGGAATGTACCCAGCCCTTCTCCAGGCAGTCCACGACCACGGCGTACAAGCTTTCGGCTTTCAAATACCCGACTTCTCGGTACGATAATGCGCCTAACCTTAGATCGTGATCCACGGTAGTAGTGCTAACTTTGACTAGCGTGGTGGCATCGAATTCCCATTCCTCGATCTCCTTGGCGACAATGCCACGTCCTTCAAGTGGACGCCATCACTGGTTATGTCGGCTGAAAACGTCATCGCTCTTAAGGGCGCCGCGGACTACGGAATCAAGACTTACCCGTCGTTGTTCGAGCCTGCTTGCGATGCATACAGTGCGGTTCCCGACGCTAAGGAACCGCGAACTACGTCTTTCGAGGCGACGAGCGCTGAGGCTGGCGCCGCATCCATTAGCACGCGGTTGTCACTTACGTCGGAAGTGAAATACCCGCTGGGTTTCTTCATGAACATCACCAACCAAGTCATGTTCGGCGACGGCAAACAATGCGACAACATGATCCGTCTCTTCAACACCAGCTTGACAACAAGCCCCAACAAGATCGAGACCGTTAAGGGCACCGTCAAAGTCAGTGGTTTCCCGCTTGAAAGCGAGCAGGAGTTCGAGTGCGCGTATGGAATCAGGTTCAGCTCGGCGTTCATCGAGAACAACTATTTGCCTTGCGAGAACTTCAGGAACTACGGCACTGCTTAGATGGTGATGGGGAGAATAGCAGATGTAAATTGCGTCTTTTTTCCTGTCGCGAACACATGCTCCGAAGAGAGCACAGGACGTTGGGCGAATGTCCGCAAATAACGATACCCATTAAGCCACGGTGGCTAGCGAATACCCCTTGGATTGTATATAGAATTTTAGAGGAATGCACTGGTGTATATACATATCGTTTGTCTTGTCCAATCGTCGACTTATCCGTCGCGGATCATTTAAAACCCCAATTTGACATCCTAATCAATCAAGAGCTGATCGAGCCACATATGTACGAAGAGGCCAGGTTCGACCTGGCCGAGGTCATGACAAGGAGCATGCAGAGATATGTCGCGATCTGCGAATTTCTCATGCTGCGAATACGGCTGACCATACAGCAAGTGGGTATATCCGATGCTTATACGACTTACCTCGAAATGCGTATAGGCCGGAAGGTCGGGCTTATGGTGTAAGTTTACGAAATCAATAAGCACTTCATGTCAAACATGTCATGACCAGGGCCAAATGTTGCGTGTCACATTGCAGAAACATGCCACAAAAAGCGCAACTCACCTGCGACAGTGTATAGCAGGCGGGAAGATCTCATCTCCTCCAACTGGCCAGCGATCGCACAGAAATCCCTTGACGGTGGTTAGAAGCATGTCAGGTGCATGTTGGAGAAAAGCGTACATGTTCTGATTGGACTGTCTCAAGCTCATACGCCCGAAAGGGCCTCCAAAGTCGCCATTTGTTGTACAAGTACCGCCGAGTCGCGGTAGTCTTCGCATCAATACTGCTGTAAGCCGAACCTTTTGGGAATCGCATAGACACACCTTAACGCCAAATTCCGGGGATATTTACCAAGCGCCTCTTCTGCCTCCGCGACGACCTCCTCGTCCACCACGGAAGCCACCGCCACCGTATCCACCACCACCTCCTCCCCAACCTCCACCGCCGCCTCGGTCCATGTCGCCGCCGGAGGGAGCGTAGGAATTGCGGGGTGGCTGGCGGTCCTTGAGCTCCTTGGTCAGGGCTTCGTAGGACTTGCGCATTTGAGCATAGCCGAGATGCATCTTTCCGTAGAAGTGGTCTGCTAGACGCCGATCATTGTCAAGACGGCTGAGATACGCACCACATACGTCGCACACTTGGAGCTTCTGATGTCCAGATGGACCTCCGGTGTCTGACAGAGCGCGCAGCTCCCTCTCTCGCTCCTCCTTCTCGGCTTTCTTGTAACGGACCTTGGTGAACTCTTGGACGGCCATGTTGACCATGCCTTCCTCGCCCATGATTTGGATCTCGAGCATGCCGGCGTCGATCGATTTGGTCAGTTCGTTAATCGCTTTGAGCTGTCGCGCGTGAGCAGATAGTGCAGGTCCCCTGGCCGGGATACTTACAAGAGCGTTTGTCTGCCTGATCTCTTCAGGCGTCTTCTCCAGGCGGCGCTGGGCAGTGTCAATCTTGCGATTACAGCTGTCAATGTGATGCTGCATGTCGCGCATGTAGTCAAACTCGAATCCCCATTTGCGCTTCTGTTCCGCGTCTGCCTCCTGGTACTCGGTCCGCAGCGCCTCGTTGTGCACCTTGGAGCAAGGGCCCAGTTCGTTCTTGGTGTTGGTGAAGAGGTCATGGGGGCAGTTGCCTACGAGGTAGGAGCGACAGACCTTGGTGTCGTTGATGTTTAGCTGGGGCGCGCGCTGGTCGGTTCCGCTCATGAGCTGTTCGCCCATAAGCTGCTCTGTGTCGCGTTAGCATGGAGCTGTATTAGTAATAGTGATTTGGGGAGACCTACCAAGCAGCCTGCGCGTCTCTGCGGCGGCCATGGTGTGTAGATATTAGGAATGCGCGGTTGGGTCGTGATGTGGAGAGCTGCAAGGTGAGTGACAGCCAAAAGAAATCGCGACCGCGGCAGTGCCAAGTATCCACGCCGGGTGACCAATCACCGGTGGGGCGCCTTCACTCCACATGTCCGCCGCAACCCCAACATCAAGGGCCTATCGTCAGTCTTCCCGCTCACATTTCGCGTAGAGAGCGCTACGATGCTGCGATGCTCTCGTCTTTTTATTTTGTGTTGCTCAATGCCTTGATCGCTTTCGTCTCTGCGGGCGCCGACTACAGCGAGCGCCTCCTCCTGCGACCCCTTCCCCAGAACACCCTTCTGGCCTCTTTCAACTTCCGGAGCAACGAAAGCGCGACTGCATTCGAACAACAGAACTTCCGATACTTCCCGCGATCTTTTGGACAGATTCTGCAACATGCGCATACGAGGGAGCTACATTTAAGGTTCAGTGTTGGAAGATGGGATGCTGAGAATTGGGGACAGCGGCCATGGAACGGCGCAAGAGAAGGAGGGACTGGCGTTGAACTGTGGGCTTGGGTAGAGGCTGATACTGAGGAAGAGTACGACTTCCATGCATTGGGCGAGAAACTTCGACTAATTGCAACAGAGCATTTGCACGATGGCTGAAGCTTACCAACGCTCTGTCAGGCCTCTTTTGTGCCTCGATCAACTTCATCGATGCCACCAAGACCATACGGCCTGTCATGTCGTTCGATCCCGAAGGCCAGCACCGTAACGCGTCCAACCTCCACCTACTCCACGGCACGCTACCCCACGAGGTCGTCTGCACGGAGAACCTCACGCCCTTCCTCAAGCTACTTCCCTGTAAAGGCAAGGCCGGTGTATCCAGCCTACTGGATGGACATAAGCTATTCGACGCTTCGTTCCAAACCATGGCCATCGATGTACGACCGACGTGCGAAGAGGGTAGCTCAAGCTGCTCAATAGAGATGGAGCAAAGCGTCGACATGGTCCTGGACATTGCGCGAGCCAAGCGACCTAGAGACAACCCTATCCCGCGACCTCTACCAATCAACCAGATGGAATGCGATACCTCCAAGCCATACAACGGGCACGATACCTGCTATCCCTTGAACAAGGGCACCGAGCCCGCCTGGACACTAGAGGAGGTCTTTGGAAGACCGCTCCGGGGAGCCTGTCCACTCGCAGATCAGGCTGAAGGAGAAGCGAATAACGTTTGTATCAACTTGCCGCCGGAGCGCGAACTCGAGGTCAAGACAACAGGAGAATTCACCGAATCGAGACTAGCATCAGACACCCTCCGATGCTACAAGCTCCCCATCGGCGAAGACCTCGACCTCGTCCTACCCGAGCAGAAAATGAAAACCGGTCTTGTCCGTCCCGATCCTCTAGTCTTCGCGGCAAGATCCATCAACGGGCACGGCCAGGAACGCGGTAGTACACAGTCCGTCATCAAGAACCCGTCCGCCACCAACGCAGTCGAGATAGTATACCTAGAGTCTCTGCCCTGGTTCATGAAGCCATACCTTCATACGCTGCAAGCCCGCGTCGACACCACAGACGAAAGCCCCATAAAAGAGACCTACTATCGACCAGCAGTCGACCGCAAGCGCGGCACCCACCTCGAGCTACGCCTGGTCATCCCACCAGCCTCCACCCTCACCCTGACTTACGACTTCGAGAAAGCGATTCTGCGCTACACGGAATACCCGCCAGATGCGAATCGAGGCTTCGACGTCGCACCTGCTGTTATCCGTATTCTGTCGCCGCAGTCAGGAGATAACAAAGGTGTCTACGTTCGCACTACTTCGCTGCTACTTCCTCTTCCTACGCCGGATTTCAGTATGCCGTATAACGTTATTATCTTGACTAGTACGGTCATGGCGTTGGGCTTTGGCAATATTTTTAACTTGCTTGTGAGGCGCTTTGTGGGCGTTGATGAGGTGCCTACTATGGGTGCTGGGGGACTGAAGGGTATTATTCTGGGGAAGGTAGCTAGGCTTAAAGGCATATTGGGGATGGCTTAAGAGTTGGTAATGCATGAATCTCTTCAATGACGTACGCGATGCTGTCGCGCTTGTACGTGACTTCAATCTGCATAAAGATCAAGCTGTTAACACTCAACGAAGCGCATCAATTACGCCAACGTGCTCAGATTCATCAAGCGGACACGTAGCGGAGACCAGGCTGAAAGCCTGCAAGGTTGACATCGTCGCAAGGCTGGGCTGATCCCCGCATTGCCGACTCCGTTGAGTGGACGCTATCTGCGGCAGGCGCACTGCTGTGCTGCGCCTTCTTACAAAGTCTTATCATCTGCCCACTTTCCAGCCTTTCGCTTCATCGCTCCTTCCATCTCTTTGTACGCCCGCCATGGCCGAAGTGGCCGGCACCATTGTTGGTGTCATATCTCTGTCCCTGCAATTGTACGACAAACTCTCCGAATATACGAATGGTGTCAAAGATGCGAAAAAGAAGGCTGAACAGATTACTCGCGAACTGGACACACTGGTCAATCTCCTTGAGTACCTGGAGACCGCTACTAGTAGGATGGACCCCACTACACCCATCGCATTGGTGAAAGCTATCATACAGCAATGCGCGCTCTCCATAGAGTCGATCAGGACGAAGGTCGGGGATGACACTCCTCCGACGAGCTCCAGCAAGTTCTCGACCCAATCGCGGAAAGTGATCAAACGGCTAGCGTATCCGTTCAAAGAGAGCGATATCAAGTACTGGAGAGATGCTTTAAGCAGTATTCGACAGAACCTGCAGATTGCATTGCAGGCGTTAGAGATGTAATTGCTGCATCGGTGTGTGAACGATATATCAGCTAACAGGTCTTAGGGATCAGTGGCAACAGAACTTCGCGACTGTACAGGGACAGCTTGGTCAACTTTCGCTCAACACTCAACTGATTCTCGATCAGCAGCGACGCACTCAGACTTCGCCCAATGGTTGCTTTATCGAAAAGAGCTGGAGCACAAACGTAGAGTTAGCCACCAGTCAACGACGTTCAGATTTCATACAGCCCTTCGTCAGCCGGCATGATCATATATTTGCCCAAGATCTTCCGATCGGAGTTCACTTGCCGAGTTCACCCGCAATATGGCGACAAAAGAGTTCCAGCGATGCACTACTGCCAATGTCTGCAGTAACTCTAGAAGAGGAGACCAGAACTGTGCGAAGATTCGAGCAGAACATGCGGCGATTGCCCTCCCGACAGTTGGAGAATCTGAATGCTTCCGTCCTGTGCACATGCCGCAAGCGCCTGCTAAGGAAGCAATTTGTGCGGTCACCATTCGTCGTGTCACGGAACGAAGCACACTACCATGATACAAACTGCCCATTGTGGACGTCTGGAAGCCACGAGATGACAATCGGATTTGGGATGATACTTTGTTACCTGATCCTCGGCCTAAAACTCCGTTTGTTCATGCAACTGTCTATTGGAAGTGGCACTTTCTCGATCATGCCGAGCTTATCGTTTCGTCGGATTGTCACTGAGGAATCTTCACCGGCGTTCAGGCTGATTAGAGACATGCTACATCATTCTGATGAACTTGATTCCTTGAATCACTCTACGGAGCTCACAAAGATATTCCAGACACGACAGGCTTCACCGCACGAACGTTTAAAGGACGGAAAAACACTATTACACGTGAGTTTTCAACCGCCTCATCTGACTATTGGGGGCATTGCTAAAACCTAACAGTACTTTTGTGCACTTAGCAATGGCACGGCGAACCTCATGAGCCCCAACAGCCTTGATACCTATCAACTGTTCCTAGATCAGCTTCTAAGTTACATGACTTACGCAGATGCATCGGATACTGATGACAGCGGAAGGTAAACAAGACACAATGCTGAATCCCAGAAATGACTGATCATATGAGATTAGAACATGCGTAGATCTCCTCTTGCGGGATTCGAGCAACTACACCGCGTCCAAATCCGTATTCAAGATCTTGGGGTTCGATCTTCTGCGTTACGACCTAAGGATATCGACAGCTACCGACGTTGCCCAAAGTTATAGCTCGTGGGTCGGAATTTCGTTCACATCCTTTCCAGATCCTTTCTTTGGCCTTAGCGACATCACTGTGTCAGCGTTGCTGAGATCAGAAATGGACTTTAGCAGTGCGACACAAACGCATAATTCTAACCACACGTGGAAAAAAGGAGAGATTTCAAAGTTGTATCATATAACAACTCTTATGGGCTGGACACGCGGCTGCCAGATCCTCCTCGATGCTCATTTGAGCTATACATCAGATGCGCCTCCGGTATGGTCGCGGGCCTTACTTCTCTTGGAGGCCGTGGACTCTCATAGTCAAGATATGGTGCAGTTCTGGCTTGATGTACGCGAAAATGCTACGGCAGAATATCTTGCAGACATTGGGGGTTTAGAATCTGCCGTTATACACGCATTGGCGGGATCTCAAGTGGATATAGCAGAGATCGTGGCCGCACATCTGATCGAACAGAGACACCAGCTTCGACAGATGATAGAAAAATCTGGCATCGAATGCGAGTGCGTCGGAAGATCAAGAGGCGTTCTTGACGCCCACGCCACGTGTGCAACACATGCACTTGACAGAATAGGCCTCAAGATTCCGCCCTCTCTTCGGCCGACTTCAGTCAACATATACAAAGTCCCCACAATATATAGCGAATTTCTACAACCCGATGCAAACTTTTCGTCAATTCCGACGTTAAAGATCTTACAATTCCTGTACGACACTGGCTTCAAGGACCTTGGTATAGTAGACAAAGAATGCTGCCACGATATAGCTTGCTCGCCATTGTTCCTCGCAATCGCATTCTGGGCGAAAAATTATAACCGTCCTGCGGAAATACCCGAGTTTTTCGGAATGATAGACTGGTTCATAGGCAAAGGGGCGGATATCACCGATTGCTGGCTGGGGTCAAAGATCACCGCGTTACATTTCCTTAGCACAAAAGCGGCCTGCATCATGCTCGACAGCGAACTGGCAGTTATAAACGATCGTTGCGATGTAATTGCAAAAGCATTCCAACACACGATGACAGACGATTGCCAATGCAGCTGTAGTACGCACGGCTGTACCAGCATGGCTTCTTTCTTCAATAATGCCAGTTCCCAGTACTTCTGGTTAAGAAGTGGAAATTCGGAAGGGATATTGGGTCTACTAAGGTTAGATCGCGTTCATGTTCGCAATCAAGATATGTATCAAACGTGTAGGAAGTCTTTGCAATGCGTAGGAGATGTGGCAAAGGATGCGGCGAATAGGTGGACAATCACCAACCTCATCAGGCTATGTGTCTTTTCATGGCTAGGCGTTCGGCACACCTGCTGCAACCTCGTGCGGTTCATGGAGTCCCTCAACTATGCGATCGAACCCGACCTTCAGCGTGCGCCTCCACCGCGATACCCCCCAGACGAGTTGCGTCGCATCCAAGAAGAAGACGCCTATCTCGTACGTCTGCTAGAAGACTTGGTGCCTCTCTTTGACGCACGGTACGACTCACATGACGGCGATCTGTTATCTTTCGTCGACGACGTACTAGTACCGGAGGTCAACTTCGTACTGGAACGACTGAAGCAAGAGGACGAGGCTGCACATGCTGCGAGTAGGCGAGAGATGGGCGTCGTCATGACCGAGGAACATGAGAGTTATGTTTACGAAGAATACGAGAGTGACTCTGCAGACGAAAGCGAAAGCGATGATCGTAGAGAAAAATGGGGGTGAAGGGGACGTACGTCGACATGGATTTCTGGTGTGGATTTACTAGTTAGTATCGAATTCACTGTCCTATTTCCTTTCCTTCGAACTTCTTCCAGCATTTGTGACTCCCGTGATATAAAGAGATTCGTGATCTTGACGACTTGTCCCTTCCCTTTGGACTCTACGTAGAGATGTACACCAAGTTAGGCTCTTAATAGAGACGGCAATAATTCGCGCCGTATTTTTAAGGTGTGCTCAAGTATTCAACACTGCGCAGACTTTCCTAGCCTGATTTCGCTGAGGGCAGGACCTCGTGGCATTCTTGGGTGTTAAAGAAACCAAATACGCGATGTACGAGTTTAAGAGCAACTTGATCCGTCGAAGAGCGATGCTGTGGATGAGTGCGAATACGGTGCGCTTTCACTCGCCTTTCGTAATCACGGTGTACACTGTGCCATACCCTTAAGTCTGTCAAAATAAAATGCCGCGCAAGTTGTCAGGCAATTGCACAGCTGAAGGCACAGGACTTCAGATTCCAGATATGTGACAGAGCAAGTAGACAAACGAATCTCATTACAAAATGATACAAGCCTACGATTCAGACCATCATACCAGCTCACCGCTAAAAGGGGGTATATCCATTACAAGAAAGAAGACAAGCATCGCTCACGCACAACCATACCACAACCACGCTCACCGCATCTAGTGGAAAAGATCCTGAGCCGCAACAGCAGTCGCCTGCGCCTTAGCAGCCTCATTCGCCGCCGCCATAGCAGCCGAAAGATCATTATCAACCTTCTGCTGCGAAGAGCTTCCAGGCCGGTTATTATCACCCGTTCCTTCCCGTTCCCCTACTGCGGCTGCAGCGAGATGTTGCAGGCCGGCCATGTTGGGTTCGAGCGCGGGGCTGGCTTGTTCGGGACCGGTGTAGGGAGGTGTGGAAGACTTCTTCTTGTGGAGTAGGTCGCCGATTGCTGTTTCCCAGCCTAGACCGTCGGAGCTGCGGTGGATGATTTGGCCGTTTGATAGGGCGTCGCTCATTTCTTTGATGGTTGTGCTTGCTTCTGCTTTTAGTTCGCCTCGGTCGTTTAGTTCAGTGAGGGATGTGGCGACTAGGGCAGCGAAGATGTGGTGCAAGGGAGTGATAGCGCCGCTCATGAGGTTGCTGAGCAGGTCTTTGGTGACTTCGAGAACCTCGGCTGAAGACAAATTCTGCCCTGAAAGTCGTGCGATGAAGACTCTGAGATACTGGTGCGCCAGATGAGGGGGTGAGTTATTCGTCAAGGTGGTCAGATCGATGGACTGCTTGATTTCATCTAGTGCTCCGTTGAGGTACTCTGACTCCGTGGTTCCGGGTTTGAGCGCGGAAAAGGCGAAAGGAGCTGCTGGGTCAACATTTGGGATGCTTCCTGCGCGATTGACGTAGGCTATGCGGCCAACGAGTAGGGCAACACCTGATGAAGATTAGTCTCGGATAGTCATCAATGGAAAGAGCTTGCACTTACGAGCGAGATAATAAGCGACTTCACCCAGGGCTGAGTAATCGTCTCGCGAAAGTGTTCCAGAGTATCGTCGAATCATCATGTCCGTCGATTGACTAGACGCGTGGAAACGGTCTATGATCAACGCAGTCCAATATACGCGGCGAGCTGTCTGATACACTTCGAGATCTTGTTCTTTCAGTCCAGCCAATGTTCTGGCATCATTTATTCCGACATCTGCAATGCACGCTGAGACACGGGCGAGCAGTCCAGTAGTACTACCTATAATGCTTGGGCCAGGCCTGTCAGATGCTGCTGCAAGCAAGATCAGTGACTGGCAGTATACCAAGTGGTTATAGAACCGTCGTGAACTATCCGTGTCATGAAGACAATAGTTCGCCGCGTCGACTGAAGTAAAGCACTGTTGCAACAGCTGATTAAGACTGATATCGATAGGTGGCAGAGCCTTCGATGCGATAGACCGGATACAGCCTTCTAGCACGAGGAAGAACGTCTCTCGCAGCTTCGACGGACAGTTTGTAAGGCGGTTCAGTTGTGACTCGTGATGAGGTAAGACAGGCAGCGTGGGATGAATGATGTTGTAATACCTGAGATATGGTTTAGTGTCTGGCAAATTTCATAAGTGCGGGTATACGTACGCTTTGAGAATCTCTTCGTGAGAGCCTGTGATAAGACTGCCGCCCAAACTCATTTCTCCGAAAGAGGTACGACGGTTGCCATTGAGCGACGAGTCTTGATCACCTAGTACAGGCAGACCGTGTGCATCTACAGATCCACCATTACCGCGATCCTGTGCGGACCAGTTGGGCCGGCTGAATGCCTCGTGGAACCCGTCTGTCATAGAATGAGTGCGCTGGCGCTTGAATTGTGGTGGGCTCTGGGTATCAGGAAACGGCTGATCACCCAATGTTCCGAAATCGAAGTTATGCGACTGGGCCGGAGGATGGTGAATCTGGCTTTCGAGCGAATTAAGCCGGTCCGCAAGCTCTTTGATGTATCTGAAATGTATCAGCAGGCACTCCAGATTGAGACATCCGCAACATACCCTTTGCTCGGGCCGCGCTTCATAGGCTGACGGCTGAACTGACAGCGCGCCCCAGTCCGTTTGCAACTAGAGCAGGCTTCTGGGCCGTTCTCGCTGGTCGCGTCGCATCGAATCTACCCAGAGTAAGCGCATGTTGTGCAGAAAGAGAGGCATCGCATACCTTCTTCCTTCGGCATTCGTCGCAGGCGCGCGAAACTTTGGAGCGTTTGCGATTCGGGTCGTTGGGATCGTACGGGTCGTGGTGTCCGTCCATATTCATGACATGTTGCGCCATTTGCTGTGGGGAATGCGTAGGGCGCGTTGGACCTGCAAAATGCGGATGCGCGCCCATTGCAGGCCCCATATGAGCCATCTGCTGGTACTGAGGCTGCTGGGGACCGACTGGGTGCATCATGTCTCCACCGTCGCGCAGCTGCTGTAGATTTTCCTGTAGGCGCAATTCGGGATCAGTCAACTGGTGTTGCTGCGCGGGTGGTGTGCCATTCTGGTTCGCGTATTGGCCTGGCCCTCCTCCCATTTGCGTATCCGAGTCCCCGTAGCCAGCCATTTTTCAGCGCGTCGTATTCGAGATTGCAGGTAGAAATGTCGTTGGTATTTATCCAGAGCACCGGTCCGGTATTGTTGCGCGATCGCGCGCGAGTTTCTGGCGTGGGAAAGCGAGAGGAGCGTGTTGTGTAAGAGGCCGCCGAGGAGAGTTGTGCGAGCTTTGCGATTTTTGCGCTAGCGTGAACCATGGCAAGAGAGAGCAGGTCCTCATGGCCTTGGATGAATGGGAAAGTGACAACAACATTATGGTGGTTGTCGTTTTCCTAAGACATGGGAGATGTTATCTGCTTGCAGCGTGGATCGGAAGCTACTAACTGGTCGGTGACGACGTCGCTGTTGGATTATCTTTTCACCGTACGCGCTCCGGGCGGCCAGTGGGAGCACCATGCACAGCCATCATCAGAAATGCCCGCACACTGCAACCGATGGTGAAAAGCATTATGGACGTCAAGAGACTGCTGAATTAGCCATATTTTTCTGCTGCCACTGTACTGCTGCTGCGCGATATTGACCTCGTCCTGTCTATCATGCGCTGATCCATTGGTGTTCAGATGATGGTTTTAGTGCCGACTTACTTGGGTCACCACACACTACAATGAGCTCGCCATAAAAAGTCCCCGGTGCACTTGGACACGTTGAGCAAGACGTTCAACAATTTCGAGCCATTGGTGGGTACGGGGTCTGGAGAATCACCGTATCATATGATATACGTACACCTGTTCACGGGTCACGATTATGTACAAGGCCAGTGCATACCGAATCCGAAGTCGTTCAATGTCAGATGCTGTAATTACTCCGGCTCTCGTAGATTAGCGGTACCAGAGTTCCACGAGACGATCAACGACTTGACGGCTGGCTGCAGCGTCAAGCGTAAGATCACCAGGATCTCCCGTATAAGAGCGGTGCAATACACCGACAGAGTATACCCCACGGAGAAGCCATGGGGTCCCGTTTCAAAAACATTATGCCAACGCTGTGCCCAGTGGTCCCAAGGGCTAGACGCTCTGTTGGATCTAAATTCCATTTGTCCCACAAAAGGGCAAATTCGAGTCGACGGGCTAGCGCTCCCTGGGCCGGAGGATTGATGTGAGATATACAAGCGGGCACTGTACCTGAGAGTAATGGATAGGCTTGCTTCCGGTTCTATATGTGCTGGACGCTATCGACGCAGACAATAGTGATGATCTCCACTTGGCAACGGGCGACGGATGCTTCGAGTTACGGCCGTCGCGGTAAGGGAAACATGCTGACTCGACAAGCGAATCGCGTCCGCAATGAAACATGCCGTGCGTGGAGTCCCGCATGATTAGAGGCGGGTTGGCGAGGCCAGCGCAGCACAGGAGCAGGCTCCGTCGCAGGCGTCGTAGGCGTCCGGTGTGGATCGCGACGGCGGCGGGCTGGCGGATGGCAGGATTCATGCGGTGAGAAGGTGCTGCTGGCTCGCACCTGCACCTGCGCTTGCACTTGCATGCAAGTGTGGGATTCCAGCGCTAGCCCAAAGGAGCCGCCGTCATGATGGCTGATCGCGCTTGCTTCGAGCGTCGAGGTCTGAGCGCACTTGCCGATGACGCTAAGCCCCACAGCCAATTACACGCCGCGCAGGGCCGTGTGCGTTCCTCTTAACCTGTTCCTCCCGCTCGCTCTCTTCCCTCTCATCACTACCTCACCCGCACAACACCACATAGTATACTGGTCTGGTCGTTCCCAAGGAGCTCCGTCTAACGCTTTCGGCCAGCGCCTCTTGCGCTCGGTTCCCCTTTGATCTCCCACTCCACTCTCCACTCCATCCTGTCGTCCTCGGTCTCATTCCCCGGCGTTCACGGTTACAAGTCAGCATACCATACCATTGCCCAAGATACCCTCTGGCGTTTGAACTAGCTTCTCTTGAACCTTACTATTCTTCCCTGTATCTTTACCCAGACGCTCACACCGCGCGTGTGGCATTATTTTCGTCATTTTTCGCCGCTTCTAGCCTGTTGGCTCCCTGGACCGCTCCTACCCAGCTGCTCGTAGCCAGCTGCGACGACCGCACTCGGCCGTTATCGCCCCGGTATGCCTGTTATCGATGGCGAGAAATGGGCTTGCTCGTCCTGCATCAAGGGCCACCGTGTGAGCGGTTGCAACCACACTGGTATGTCGCTCAGTGCGACGCTTCACAACCTTACAGTGCTAATTTCGTCTTGAAGATCGGGATCTCCACCACATCAACCCCAAGGGTCGTCCTGTCAAGCAATGCGAGCACTGTCGCGGTGCGCGCAAGTCCAAGTCTCATCACGCCAAGTGTGATTGTGGCGACAAGAAGGACAAGGACTTGCACAAAGACAAAGGCGACGCGAAGAGTGAGCTCACATCTGGCTTGGCCGTCCCCGACATCTCTGACGTTACTCTAGCTCATGACAACCGCTGCCAATGCCATTCCGGCGGCAAGTGCTTGTGTGGCACCAAGAAGGAAGAGATCGATCTCAAGATAGACACTACTCGGCAGACGCTCCACGATGCTCGCGCGAAACCCAAGTTGACTGCGACGCACTCGGAGAGTCACTTGACCGTCTTCGCAAACGGCCACCACAAGCCTTGTCATCGCAACAACAACTCGGCTCACGTCTCTGGCCTTCCGTACAAGATTCCTCGTCCGCATACGCTCCACGGCCATGCCGCCTTCTCCGCTCTCTCGCAAGAGAAGAGCACTCGCAGCCAGCCAGAACCGCCTGCTACACGCTCCATGGACACGCTATCGTTATCGAACAACGACTTCCACACCATGTTCGGCTCTACACAGCGCTGTGCCGACAAGTCGCCGACTCCCAACGTCGGCGGTAGCCTCGACACATTCGGTTTCAACGAGATGTTCAGCAGTCAGCCCGGCGTCTTTCAACAAGACGGCGAGTCTCCCAACAGCAACGTCAGCGACACGTTCTCGAATCAGTGGCCATGGATAGCCAACAGTGTAACACCCGTGAACAGTACGTTCGGTCTGGGCAGCCTGTCCACTTCGCCATCGCAAGATTGCCTCCCAAACATGGATAGCGACTGGTTGACAGCATCTGCTGGTTTTGACCACGTCTGGTCTGCTACTGATCTCCCGCTGGACCCTAGCAAGTTCAACGACGACTTGGCGCAGCCGATCTCACACAGCGGAGAGTCCAAACTCAGCGGTCCCGGCCTTACTGTAGCGTCGTCTGCGCACTCGGAAATTGGAGAGCCAGCCCTCTTCGGTGACTTGGACTTCAAAGCCCCTCAGTCGGCTGCCAGCGATTCGCTCTTCTGGGAAGATACCCCTGCGTATCGCTTTAGCACTGCCGTACCGAGTGAATCCGTCAACGCGCCCATGCCAATGGCCACTACGGCACCCATGCCGAACATGCTTGGCTTCGATCCTATCTACGCCAAGAGCATGACTGCTGCGCCAGCAACTATGACGAGTACCGCCTCGCCTGACTTTGCCGACACAGCCGCCCTCTCGATGCCTAGCAATTTCGAAGATGTTGTTCCCATGGACCCATGGCCTATAGATCAGACCAATGGTGCTTTCAACGCGATGAACAACTTTGATCTATCTTATACCAACAGTGGTTGGTTTTAGACGCCTGCGAAGGGACAGCCAGCTCTCGCAGCTACTGTCGCTTTTGATGACGCCATGATTGATGACGCTGCTGGTGCGCGATGATACCAACGCCTAGGCGATCTCTATTCATATCTTCTTTTAGTCTTCATGACTACCCTTTTGACTATCGGTCGCCTGTGTATATTTTATGACCTGGCCCGAACCATTCGCTTGATGTGCGTTTGAGGCCGTTCTGCATAGATCGCCGCCATCACTGTTTGTTGCATTTGAGTGTTGAATAAGCAAGCATACGTATATACAATGGGATGGATTTGGGTGGTGATTTCAATGCTTGGGCGGTTTGCCCGTGGGGGTTTCGCAAAAGTATAGACGGAGCCTTTGGCGTTCTGACGTCTAGCCCACAATGAAATAAGAAAGTAAAACAATCCTGCATCTTCATATGCTTCTCATCGTGAACACGCATTGTCAATTGAGGCATCTCAACGGACCCCTCAAGCCTCGTCGAGTGACGTCCTTGAGTCGCATCAGGGCGTGCCGCACGGCCGCAAGGTTCGTGTTATCCTCCTCCACCAATTAGCGTCTCTGCCAATCCAATTTTTTCAGGGTTCCCGCCTCGCCCACACGACGTATCCCTCAAGCGGCCAGATGAGACGCCCTGCATGCGAAGCGTGGAGCGCAGAGATTTTCGCTGACCTTCCAAGTTTCCTCTGATCGGTCGACAGGGATAGGCTATCTCCCAGCAAAACCGTGATTAACCTTTTGGACGCGCATGCTCTGTCAAGATCCCACGTTGGGGTCGTCCTACACCAAAGGACGATGAGATGCGTGGATGATCGGCGACAGATGTAACACCACTACGTCGTCTCACGGGATGCGCGACGAGAGCGCTACGCCAGCGCTCGCGGCGGCAGCGATTGAATCGACGTGATCACTCGCAATGCGGCGCACTGCACAAGAGCATGTGCCGGGACGGCCTCGGTGGCATCCAGGCTACCTAGGTATCAAGGCTAAACACCGATGTCAGTCGCAACACACCTTGTCGTAGCTCCAGAGCCGGCTCAGCAAAGCGCGGCAAAGTCAGTCAATTAGCTAGGCGCATCGCACTGCACCGTCAGGAAAGCTAAATCAGCAGCATGACCACGAGCATGTCATCCCACTTACGAGCCTGGTGCTTGCGGATGCGTTCACAATCCGGCGCCCGCTGCACAGCACAAACAAAGAACCGCTGTTTGTGTGTGTTGTGCATGCCAATGCCCAGTGCACAGCCTCCCTTTTACGCTTCTTTACGAACCGCCAGAGTGGGAGGTGTGCAGTCGGCGTTCTGGCGAACCAGATGCGGGTAAGCTGGGTGTGCTCACGCGTTTTCGTAATGGGGGCGGGTGCATACTTCCTCACGATAGTGCTAGTCTGCCGTTTTTACCATCCCAACAGATACT